TAAGAGGTTGGAACCGCAGCCATCTTGGGCTGGATGGCAGTGACTTTTAATCAAAGATATGAAGACCAAGTCGCCCTGACAACAAGATCAAATTGCGACAACGAGGTCAACCCACCTCTGTCAAGTGACTTTTAACCTAAATCAGTGGTTCCCAAACTTTTCCTAGTCGCAATGCCCTTTTTCAGTTAAAATGTTTCCATGACTATTCGTAATTAAGAGATAAAAATAAATAAAACTCGTGTATATTCATTAATTTTTTTACTTTATCGACATTACATTAATATGTAATAATTAACGTGATGGATGAGCCTGCAAATCATTGCACATTTTCTCAGATGGAAGCTTTTACAATATTTTCGCGGCTCCCTGAGACGCCGCGGCGCACAGTTTGGGAACCATTGACCTAAAGGATCAAGCATTTTCATCATTTCCATCATTTCATCACGGAGTCACTGTCATCAGACTATCCTGACAGCTGAGACATAAGACCGTGACTAACCTCATTATCTCCTACCGCTGACCAAGAATGCGCGTCACTACACTTTGGGAGTCCAGGTATTTAGTCCAGCCTTCAGAATGGCCTTGTTCATGTACAACGTTGAAACAGGCCTAAACAGGCTCAAGTACAGTGCGCTAATTGGTCATCATGGCGCAGCGACTAGAGTCTAACCTCCTCAAGGCATAGATACCGAAGTTGAAAATGGTCACCAGGACAAAGTACACGATTAAAGCCTACGTTGTCGGAATGGACTTTGGCATAGGGAACAGGGCGCCCGGCCACTTAGTTGAGGCGACGGCGAATCCGGCGATTGCTATGCCCGGCCCGGCCCGGCCTGGCCTGAGGGCGGATCGATAGAGGCGCGAATGTCAAGCGCAATCATAAACGTCATATAACAAAGTGAACATGGCCGTCATCGGGGCTGACTAGGCAGAGAGTCGAGGAAAGAGAGCTAAAAGACGGACAAGTGATGGCAGCCCGTCTGCGTATGGTAGGCAAACTGGGTCGATGAGCCTGAGAAAATTAAGCGCGCACGTACGGCAAGTCAACGGAAGCTGGGCCTAACTGTCCTGCGAGCAGAATTTGCAGCAGTGATATCGATCCTTCCGTGGTGAGCTCTGGTTGGCTCAGACGAGAAGTGACGATTAGTCATTCACACGATCTGACTCGTCTGGCACGACTGGGCCCAGCGGACTTACGCCTCGGGCCAGACTGAAAGCGGTTAGGCGACCTTGACTTTGACTTTGATTTTGGGAGCACGTGATTCATGCCGTGCCGTATTGAGGGCATGGGGCAAATGACGTCCTGTCAAGTGGCAGCCGGCGTGGCCACGTCAAGATGGCGCCAGCCACCTCGACAAGAGAGGCGGGCAGTTGTACGTCGAAACCCAGTTTTTCGACATGCCTCTTCGAGACATCAGGCACACGGATTCAGCGATGGTGAGCGTCTAGAAGGCGTCTAAAAGCTGTCCCGAAGGTCACGACAAGGAATCAACCAGCCAATCTTTGAATATCCACCACTGCATGGCGTCTGCCGCCCGGCTGAACTGGCGGCCTGATTGCCTCTGGACGGTAGGAAGCAGAAGACGTAAGAATCGTCAGTATGTCTTAACTGTAAAGTGACCTTAGCTTCGAAACTATCAGAACCATCTATTTGACTAGTTGTAATATAGTGCTACGAATGGCAAAACTCACTGACGATGCTGACTAGGATGCCGGAGAAACGGTCCGACTTTGGAAATAATTATGCATACAATGGACTCAGGACAAGGTGCGTTTCTATAGGTCTTCCT